TGTTAACAAAGCAAAAGAGAAAAATTTTTCTTTTTTTTTGCTTAACATTATCTATTCAAAAAAAAAAGAAATAACGGAAAATGACATGTCATTCTCATTCATATGCAAGATTCACATTTTTATGCATTATAAAGCCATCGATGGATTTTTACCGAAACAACTGTGTTTTTACTTAAATCAGATTTATTTTCTGCTTAAAAAAATGAATTATTTTTGTTTTCAATTAACTTTCATATTTTTCGACAATATTTTCTTTTTTGACTAAAGAAAAATGAGAATAGGTCTTTAGAGTTCCACATTTATTATATAATTTTTTTTTTGAAAAAAAAACGAGATTATAATTAAAAAAACTGTTATAAGAGAACGTACACTCTGTCAGTCTTTGTTGGATAGTCAATAAAGGAAATGTATTTTTTAATATTGACTTAAATAAAACTGGCGAGAAGATCATATGTAAATCAATATTCATGATGAATATGCTCAGTATAAAAATAAAAGAATTATTTATTTTAATTAACTTTAATTATATTTATCTTTGAGAAAAAAAGCAATCTTTTTTATATTTATTATCAAATCATACTCGCTGATCCGAAAAGAATTTTTTTTTTTCAAAGATTATATTATAACAGTTATTATAGATCCTTTGAAAAAAAAAAGACTAATCTTTTTCTGATCACTCCATAATGAACATATTATATTTTGGATTAAATATGTTCTTTATGTTTTGAAAATCTAATGATTTGTTTTATATTTATTCTAACTAAATAAGTTAAATTCATTATCATAGAACTTTGTTATCTTATTTAGATTTGTGATGGACAAGAATCGTTATATTTTAGAATAATGATATTCATCCAGTGGCATTTTTGTCTTTATCTTTTTTTAATATTTCTATGTAAGTTGAGTTTTAAAATAAAAAAAAATTGATGAAAAATATATATAAATGGAATAGTATATAAAACAGCTGCTGTCTACTCAATTCAATGTTGTACTGGTAATGATAATACATGTTCATCGAAACCTGTTGATTGTCCTTCAAATATTTGTTTTAAATTAGGTTTGGAATTTATTTTATTATTTTCATTGTTTTATCTATAATAAATTTTTTTTTTAGTAATAAATAAAGTAACGGAAGAACGTGGATGTCTTGATGATTTAATAAACTTAATAAATTCTGTAAATAAAAATAATCAAACATTAAGTGGTCGAAATGGAT